TCAAGAGGCAGGCCAAAGCCATATATGGGCTGTAGTGCTACTGGGAATTAGCATCAGGTGTGAGTGGAAGTAAGTCAAGAGGCAGGCCAAAGCCATATATGGGCTGTAGTGCTACTGGGAATTAGCATCAGGTGTGAGTAGAAGTAATTCAAGAGGCAGGCCAAAGCCATATATGGGCTGTAGTGCTACTGGGAATTAGCATCAGGTGTGAGTGGAAGTAAGTCAAGAGGCAGGCCAAAGCCATATATGGGCTGTAGTGCTACTGGGAATTAGCATCAGGTGTGAGTAGAAGTAAGTCAAGAGGCAGGCCAAAGCCATATATGGGCTGTAGTGCTACTGGGAATTAGCATCAGGTGTGAGTAGAAGTAATTCAAGAGGCAGGCCAAAGCCATATATGGGCTATAGTGCTACTGGGAATTGATGGCAAAAATGAAATAGACTAATTTGATGAGCAAGACTCTGTTACATTTAAATTGAAGAATAGAGCTGAAATCACTGCACATTGGTGTGCATGCACTAACAATAGGTAAAAACCAGTTTAAAACCTAAGTTTATATGAGATTTCATTCATATGTAATTGACACACACCCCCTCCCCACTATACGATAAATGGCCCTGTACTTGCCATAGTCTTGAGCCTCTTTAACTGCTGCCAGTCTTTGATTTAAACTCTCTTCAGTTTCTGTCTCTCTATCCCTCAGTCTTTTTTCCTAAATAAAATGAGCGGGTAATAAAAAGGTTGATGTTCATATCATTGAAACTCGGCTTACACAAACTGATAACCTATACATTGAAGAATCCACCTCCCTTAAACCTGACAAATGAAGTTTAACATGTAGGCCTTGAGTAAAAGTCAGTCTCACTGGATAGTTATATAAGGTGAGGTTTTTTTTGGTTTCAATAAAAAATTTTTTAGATAACAATATGCAAAATTTAGTTTTCAAAATTTGAAATTTGAATAATTCATGCAAATATTATTATATAGGAGAGCCTTTCAGTAATATTTTATCCATGAGCCAAAGACGACCTATTAACAATAATTTACGGGGAGTGGGTGGGGGGGGGGGGAGAGGGGTGTGTGTTTTGGAAGGTTTAAAAAAATGTATTTTTAAAAGAACCTCAGACTATTATATTTTATTAAACCCAGATGTGCAACTGAATGCTTTGACTTACACGGTAAGATAAGAGGGTTAAGACTAAATAAAATAAACGCCTGCCAATGTTTAGGACATACCAGAACTTCCAAGCTTGGTGGGCTAATGAAGATGTATCTTGGTGTTGGCTTGAGGTCAGATTTTTTAATATTTTTGACTCCGTTGATTTCAACATCCAGGACACAGAGTTTTCCAGAATTTGTAATCTCCTTCACGACGTTTTACTGAAATGTTCCGAATGCGTAAGGTAACCGTGACGATAACCAAAAAAAATGAAGATCAATAGACTGATATAAATAGAATGCTCTTAAACTTAAATAAAATTAGATGTGAGTTTTTTTTAAAGACTAATTTTTTTGTTTACCTTGTTCCATAGAAATTTCCAGAAAACTGAGCATATTCAAGGAAGCCATTTTCAGCAATTAACTTCTTAAACTGCTCCTCTGAGACAAAATGGTAAGCTGAAACAAAATAGATTAGAGATAAAATTCTTGTACTAATCCAAATAACTGAAAATGTGTTGTACATATTCAATTTCAGCACATAAATAAGTAAGTATTTTAACCACGACAACATTTTTAAAATCGGAACAAATTAAACACAGGACATGTAAAGTATTTCTCTGGGGGAAAAGTAAGTCATTATGTACCATAAAACTTAACTCCCTTAGTGAGAATAATGACATAATTAGTGATCATTTAGATTTGGTAACCACTGGGGGAGCACACTGGTAAATTCTAACAGACTGGGAAAACATATTTTGATACTTTGATATTTTTCTGTCCTAACTGAAAGAATGACCCTGATTGAGCTGATCTAAGCATCTGTGATGAAGAGGGTGGGATGTAGTCCTAACTGAAAGAATGACCCTGATTGAGCTGATCTAAGCATCTGTGATGAAGAGGGTGGGATGTAGTCCTAACTGAAAGAATGACCCTGATTGAGCTGATCTAAGCATCTGTGATGAAGAGGGTGGGATGTAGTCCTAACTGAAAGAATGACCCTGATTGAGCTGATCTAAGCATCTGTGATGAAGAGGGTGGGATGTAGTCCTAACTGAAAGAATGACCCTGATTGAGCTGATCTAAGCATCTGTGATGAAGAGGGTGGGATGTAGTCCTAACTGAAAGAATGACCCTGATTGAGCTGATCTAAGCATCTGTGATGAAGAGGGTGGGATGTAGTCCTAACTGAAAGAATGACCCTGATTGAGCTGATCTAAGCATCTGTGATGAAGAGGGTGGGATGTAGTCCTAACTGAAAGAATGACCCTGATTGAGCTGATCTAAGCATCTGTGATGAAGAGGGTGGGATGTAGTCCTAACTGAAAGAATGACCCTGATTGAGCTGATCTAAGCATCTGTGATGAAGAGGGTGGGATGTAGTCCTAACTGAAAGAATGACCCTGATTGAGCTGATCTAAGCATCTGTGATGAAGAGGGTGGGATGTAGTCCTAACTGAAAGAATGACCCTGATTGAGCTGATCTAAGCATCTGTGATGAAGAGGGTGGGATGTAGTCCTAACTGAAAGAATGACCCTGATTGAGCTGATCTAAGCATCTGTGATGAAGAGGGTGAGATGTATCATCTAAAAAAAATTCAGTTTTCACTACAGCATTTTTATTTAAATAGTTCAAGTGAAGGCTGTTCAGTTTGTGTGTTTATGGATTATTCTATGAAGTCAGTGTTTGATGTCAGGGGATAAATTCACACACCTGCAGGCAATATTGAAATTTGGTAGGCTTCTGCTTATTGCCCTGTAGAATAAGTTAATAACTTGTTTTGTTCAAGCTGAACTAGTGCAATTTTTTAAAATAGACTTTGGTTGACTTTTTTTTTTATACAGAATTTGGATGTGTCCATGCCATGTCAGAAATGGTGACAACTAGGTACTGAGATGTGTCGACTTGTAATTTTTTATTGTGAGATCTGAAATTGGGTGATTCTCCCTTCGGAAATGGACAACCATTTCTCTCCTTTTCGACACATTCAGCTGAAGAAAACTTTCATCGCACCCACTGATAAAGCTTCAAACTTTTCATATAACCTTTCTCCTTTAGATACTAAGCCAACCATGGTGGTATCATCTGTAAATTTTATGATTGAAACGGTGTTACTTAGGCTCTGGATGTAATTGTTCTTTTGTTTGTTTTTTGTAATACAGGACAGGGGAGTGAATGCAACATTGTGGCGCAACAAAACTAGTTTCTCTAGTTAATGATATTTGGTTGTTACCCTTGACATAGTGTGGGGGATTTTTTAAAAAGCTCTGTATTCACACTTGAATATTTGAATTTAAACCTAACGAATAAAGCTTTTAAACTATAAGTTGTGGTGGGATAGTGTTGAATGCTGATAACCTTTTTAAGGTATTTCACACAACTACTAAAATGTACCAACTTTTGTAAGGTATATCTTAAAACAAACACTATACTACACCATCTTTAGTAAGGTATATCTTAAAACAACCACTATACTACACCATCTTTAGTAAGGTATATCTTAAAACAACCACTATACTACGCCATCTTTAGCAAGGTATATCTTAAAACAATCACTATACTACACCATCTTTTGCAGGGTATGTGACACAAAACAACCACTACTAGCACCATCTTTCTCCCCATGCCTTGGTTTTCTTGTTGTATCTGCAAAGCGTAAGACAGGGCAATGAACTAAGTCTTAATAAGACAGGGCAATGAACTAAGTCTTAATAAGACAGGGCAATGAACTAAGTCTTAATAAGACAGGGCAATGAACTAAGTCTTAATAAGACAGGACAGTGAACTAAGTCTTAATAAGACAGGGCAATGAACTAAGTCTTAATAAGACAGGGCAATGAACTAAGTCTTAATAAGACAGGACAGTGAACTAAGTCTTAATAAGACAGGGCAATGAACTAAGTCTTAATAAGACAGGGCAGTGAACTAAGTCTTAATAAGACAGGACAGTGAACTAAGTCTTAATAAGACAGGGCAGTGAACTAAGTCTTAATAAGACAGGGCAATGAACTAAGTCTTAATAAGACAGGACAATGAACTCAGTCTTAATAAGACATGGCAATGAACTAATTCTTAATAAGACAGGGCAATGAACTAAGTCTTAATAAGACAGGGCAGTGAACTAAATCTTAATAAGACAGGGCAATGAACTAAGTCTTAATAAGACAGGACAATGAACTAAGTCTTAATAAGACAGGACAGTTAACAAAGTCTTGATCAATTAATTGTCACAGTCATAACAAGATAATAATTCACTCCTGTTAGATTTTCAAACAATAGAAGTGATTGGTCTTATAGTGTTTGATTGGAAACAAACCAGTGATCCAGTGTATGTGTGCACAAACACAGTGAAACAAACCAGTGATCCAATGTATGCGTGCACAAACACAGTGAAACAAACCAGTGATCCAATGTATGTGTGCACAAACACAGTGAAACAAACCAGTGATCCAATGTATGTGTGCACAAACACAGTGAAACAAACCAGTGATCCAATGTATGTGTGCACAAATGCAGTATCTAATTGTTTATCAAGCTGAGATATCTAGTGCATGCTTAGGCAAATGTATTTTTATTGATTATCAAGCTGAAATATATTGTGTGTCTTTACACAGATGCAGTATTTTTTTTTTTATTGATTATCAAGCTGAGATATCTAGAGTATATGTACACACATGTACTATTGTATTGTTTATCAAGCTAGGGGATCTAATGTGTGTGCACACAAATGTAGTATTTTATTGATTATCAAGCTGAGATATCTAGAGTATATGTACACACATGCACTATTGTATTGTTTATCAAGCTAGGGGATCTTATGTGTGTGCACACAAATGTAGTATTTTATTGATTATCAAGCTGAGATATCTAGAGAATGTGCACACACATACAATATTTTATTGATTATCAAGCTACTTGAGAGGGTGTGGTGCAAAGATGACCGGGGGGGAGATCACAAATTACTTACGAGAAACACTAAAAGCAAAGCATCCTGGGTACTCTTTGAACAACTTCTCCAACAGTGTGCTTTTCCCATTCCCAGACGGTCCACTCATAACAATGGGTCGAAGTTCTGTGGCACACATGGTGACGAGGCTCTTTCCAGTTACGAGCTGGTTAAAGTTTAAAAAAAAACCAAACTAAGAATATCTTTGATAGAATATCGTGCATAGAATATCTAATCTATGAAAGTTTTATACTAGAAATTATATAATAATAAAATGCTCTATTCCTTGAATGATCTGTAGACATGAGAAACTAAGGTTT